CACACACACACACACACACACACACACACATTTCAAAAAACAAAAACGGGAATGAATCTTCCCACTTTCGCGGGAAGATCGTTTCCCGTTTTAGAATAGACAATGGAAACGCCGGCGCGCGCGCGCGAGATAGATAGATAGATAGATAGATATAGAGAGAGAGAGGCAGGACGGCGGCGACCTGCACGGTAGGGCCGCGGCGAATTCGGCACCCCTCTCTCTCTCTCTCTCTCTCTCTCTCTCTCTCTCTCTCTCTCTCTCTCTTTTCGGAAAACGGAAACGAGAGTGAACCTTCCTCTAGAACATGCAAAGATGACTGTTTTTTCTTCTTTTTTCCATGTTCTTTTGAGTAAATCCCGTTTTTCTGTTCTTGCTTTTTGCATTTTGTGTTTTATTTTTTTCTCTGTTCTTTATTCCGTGTTCTTCTCCAAGCACGTTTGGGAAGTTAGCGCCCGGTAGTTCAAGCCTCGGCAAGGCTCTGCATACCGGTCGGCCGAGGCTCGGACTTGATAGCTGGGCCAAATACTGGTGGTTTAAGGCTCCCCCACCACAGACATATAGCAGAAAGCAGGGGGGGAGGGGGGGGGGGAAGACTATGCTACCAGCTGTCCAATGACTGGACGTCCTGGCCGAACGTCTCCGTCGGACGTCCGGTTTACCAGTTGTCCGGGATCCCGGACAACTGTTTCTTGGGAGGAATAAATGGAAAAAAAAAGAAGAAAAAATTGGGGGTGGTTGCTCACACCGTGGAAACCCCGTATAACAAATCTGGGGTCATGTTGAAGAAAAACGAAAAAAAGGGATATCCCAGCCCTAACCTTGCCGCCCCTCCTAGCCTCCCGGAACCCTCCCCAGCCCTACTCAACCCTCAACGCCCCCTAACCTGAACCTACCCCAACCCTCTGCAAACCTACCCGACCCTACACGGACTCTTACCAAGCCTGCCCGACCCCGACCCTACCCTACCCACACTCTCACCCGTTTTTGTTTTTTTTCATTTCCATGCCTTATCTTTTTTCAGATCAATCAAGCGATCAACAATCAAATCAATCAACCAATCATAATCAATCAATCAAATCATTGATTGATCGATTGGTTTGATTGATTGATTGATGAAATGATAGATTGATATGACCTAAGTTTTTTTTCCGGACATCCGGATGGCCCAAGACCATCCGGAATATCCAGCCAGAAAAATAACCCCGAAAGAACCCGGAAATAAACATTCCGGGGCCTGCGCAAAATACGCGCAGTGCTTCTTCTTGGGGTCTAGGTGTGCCAAGGGGTTTTGATTAACCCCTGGCAACACCTCGCGGTCGCAGATCCTGAGCAAGACCCACAGATTTCAAAAACAAAATGCCCAATCTGGGTCGTCGGTCCACCAAGATCGACGATCAAGATCAGGCCAATTTTGAATTCAAAATCGCGAAGGCCCGCTGCCCCGCCTCCCCGCTGCCCTGCTGCCCCACTGCCCCACCTCCCCGCTGCCCCGCTGCCCCGCCTCCCCGCTGCCCCGCTGTTCCACTGCTGCAGAGAATAGCCGCCTCCGCTGGAGCCATCGTCGGGAGCTGCTCCTCTACCCGTCGCTAAGATGAGCCTCCTCTTCCTACAGTCTTCCTCCTCCTCCTCCTCCTGCTCGACTTCCACCTCACTTCTCCTCCTCCTCCTCGTCTTCCACCTCCTTCTCCTCCTCCTCTTCTCCTCGTCTTCCACCACCTCCTCCTCCTCCTCCTCCTCGTTTTCCACCTCCTCCTCTTCCTCCTTTTCCTCCTCCTCCTCCTCCTCCTCTTCCTCCTCGGCTTCCTCCTCCTTTTCCTCCTCCTCCTCCTCCTCTTCCTCCTCCTCCTCCTGCTCTTCCTCGGCTTCCTCCTCTCCTCCTCTTCCTCCTCGTCCTCCTCCTCTTGCTCTTCCTCGGCTTCCTCCTCCGCTCCTCCTCCTCTTCCTCCTCGTCCTCTTCGTCCTCTTCCTCGAAATCCATGGATGTCGTAAATCCATTTATGCGCGAGGAGGAGGAGGAGGAGGAGGAGGAGGAGGAGGAGGAGGCAGCTGGCTCCCTTTTTCTTTTTTCAATCAATCAATCAAGATCCGTCGATTTCAACGGGAAGACCTGTCGAAATCGACGGATCTTGAACGAACGAATGAATGAATAGTTGGTTTATCGATTAATTGATTGACGAAAAAAGAAACAAAAAAGACGGAGGGGAGGGGTGCCAGCCAATTGATTGAAGAAAAAACAAAAAAGGCGAGGGGAGGGGAGTCAGCCGCTACCCCAGCGTAGGGTATCGCAAAAGTAGGGGGTGAGAGGGACCAGTGTGTGTAGCAGCAGGTTTATGGCGCCTAGTTCTGGGTGAAGAGCTCCCCCTCCCCACCCCACCCCTCATCCTGCTCAGTCAATCCCCTGGATCCCAGGGTAATCAATGCTGGCAGGAATATCCCGCATCTATGTTGTTCTGATATGTTCTGAATTATATCTATGTATGGGACACTGGACCCGTTTTCCGGCAGGTGTTGCTCCCCACCAATAGATGGAGCCTCCCCCCAGGTGCTGGCGGTGTCTGCTCGTACTAGCATCACACTACCGTCTTAACCCGAAAACAAGGTACGCAGCTTGTATTCAAGTTACCTCCGAAAAACGGGTTCTCAGAAATCGCTGTTAAATTTTCGAATAGAAGGTACCCTTGAATACAATGTACGTACCTTGTATTCGAATACAGGGTACGTACCTTGTATTCAAGGTGTGCCGTGTTCACGTAAAACTCTCTCTCTCTCTCTCTCTCTCTCTCTCTCTCTCTCTCTCTCTCTCTCTCTCTCTCTCTCTCTCAATGTGTTCCTTCAAAAAAAAAAAAAAAAAAAAAATTCACGCTGCAGCCCCATCCTATTCATTATATTATTGCTAATATTTACCATACACTTTTTTCAGTTTTTTCCCCTTGACTCAGGAAAGTTGCACCCTAAAATTTGTTCTGCAAGGTACGTACCGTGTATTTGAATACAAGGTACCCCGTACCTTGTATTCGTATACAAGGTACGTACCTTGTTTTCGGGTTAAGACGGTCGCACGTGGGGCATGTTTTGTATAAAAAAAAAAAAAAAGAGTCCTCTCATGCTCCTCCTCCTCCTCCTCTTCCTCCTCCTCCATCACCTCTTTCTCCTCCTCCTCCTCCTCCTCCTCCTCTTCCTCCTCCTCCTCTTCCTCCTCCCCGTGCTCCTCTTCTCCCTCCATCGCCGCCTCCTCCTCTTCCTCCTCCTTGTCCTCTCCCTCCCCCTCCTCGTCGTCCTCCTCCTCCTCCAACTCATCTTCTTCCTCCATCACGTCGTCCTCCTCCATCGCCTCTTCCTTCCTCCTCCACCTTAGCCTCGTCCTCGCCATCTTTATACCGACGGGTGAAACACAGCACCTCATCTCTTGGGGATAAACGGCGGGAGTAACTATGACAGTCTGAAGGTAGTCAACGCCTCATCATCTTATTAGTGATGGGCCTGAATCGATTAACGATCCCTTTCTTCCAATCAATCAATCAATCAATCAATCAATCACGAATCAAGATCCATTAATTTCGACGGAACTTTCCATCGAAATCGACGGATCTTGAATGAACGAACGAGTAGTTGGTTGATTGATTGAAAAAAAAAAAAAAAAAAAAAAAGGCGGAGGGGAGGGGAGCCAGCTGATTGATTGAACAAAAAAAAACAAAAAAGACGGAGGTGAGGGGATCCAGCCGCTACCCCGTCGTAGTAGTCCTCTCATGCTCGTCCTCCTCCTCCTCCTCCTCCTCCTCCTCCACTTCTTCCTCCATCGCCGCCTCCTCTTCCTCCTCCTTGTCCTCCCCCTCCCCCTCCTCCTCTCCTCCTCCTCCTCCTCCTCCTCTCCTCCTCCTCCTCCTCCTCCGCCACCCCCTCCTCTTCAGCCTCCTCCATCGCATCTTCCTTCGTCCTCCTCCATCTCGGCCTTGTCCTCGTCATCTTTATACCAACGGGCAAAAAACTGCCACCTCATCTTTTGGGGTAAACTGCGGGAGCAACTACGACCGTCTGAAGGTAGTTAAATGCCTCATCATCGAATTAGTGACACGCCTGAATCGATTAACGGGATTCCTCCCTTTTTTTCCGATCAATCAATCAATCAATTAATCAATCATTCAAGATCCGTCGATTTCAACGGATCTTTATTCAATCAAGACAGATCTTGAATGATTAATTGATTGATTGATTGATTAACTTCCACTTTAAAAAAAAAAAAAAGGGTTGGGAGCAGGGCGAGACGGAAGACGAGGTTGCAATGACCCTCAGCCGCCGCCCTTCCCCCGACCGCTTTTTCCCCCGTAAAACTAGGGCGCAGTCATGGTTATCAGTTTTGAATGCTTTCCAGTCACGATTTTGCGTATGTTGCTCTAAAGCAAGGACAGTTCTTTATGTATACAACATAGCTTTAGGGTTGGGTGGGGATGTGTTGTATTCGAGGGATGACTGAACTGCATTTTAGTTTGAAAATGTGACTCACGAGGAGGAGGAGGAGCAAGAAGAAGAGGACTAAAAACATGGAGGAAGAGGAGGAGGAGGAGACGGAGAAGGAGGACGAAGAGGCGATGGAGGATGACAAAGAGGAAGAGGAGGAAGAGGAGGAAGAGGAGGACGAGGAGGACAAGGAAGACGAGGAAGAGGAGGAAGAGGAGGAAGAAGAGGAGGAAGACGAGGAGGAAGAAGAGCTGGAGGACGGAGAGGAGGAGGAGAAAGAGGAGAATGAGAGGGAGGAGGACGAAGAAGAGGCGAAGGAGGCCTCGAGTAGGAGGGAGGAGGACAAAGGGGGCTTGGGGGGAGGCGGCGTCGAGTCAGGGGAGTGAGAGGCAGACTGCCTCGCCTCAACCCCCCCTCACCCGCCGCCCAGCCCCCTAACCCGCTTTTTCTTTTATTTTCCTAAATCAATCAATCAATCAATCAAACAAACAAACAAAAAAACAAACAAACAAAAAAACAAAATCGTTATCCAATCAAAGCAATCGATTCGATTGGATCTTGATTCCGAAATGTGAGGGGGAACACTATAATGGATATTCAATGTGTTTTTCGGAAAAAACTCCCA